CGTGTGCATGCGTGCCCAAGATCCCGAGAGGAGAATGGAGGAGAAGGGATTGCGGCGTGACCATCCCCTCTGGGGGGTGATTTCTCACTTTCTATCTCTCTGTCTCTGTCTGTCTGGCGAGCGCACGCACCCTGTAGCAAAAAAAAAAAAAATCTCTCCAGAAAAAAATAAATAAATCTTTAAAAAAAAATCTGGGTGAGGGACCAGCAGTTGGCATAATGGCTATGTCTCTGGACTCCCACGTAGACGACTATGGTTCTAGTCCCAGACCCTCTGACTTACACTCACGCCAGGCGCATGTGCATATGCGCCCAGGATCCCAAGAAGAGAATGGAGGAGAAAGGATTGCCGCATGGCCATCCCCCGGGGGTAATTTTTCACTTTCTGTCTGTCCACTTTCTGTCTGTCTGTTTCTCTGGCGAACTCACATGCCCTATAGCAAAAACCCCTCCAGAAGAAAAAAAAAAAAAAAAAACCTGGGTGAAATTTACTGCCAGTACTAGAAAAATCAGTACATTTTTCTGATACCCAGTTTGTAGTGTCCTTTTCTTACCTAGAAGACTTAGGTTGTGCCTCAACCCCTTCTTACCGGTCCACGTCCGTCCTTTCTCAGTAAGTATATGTCTGTGGCCTGGTCTCCTGGCCGAATGATGAGAGCAGATCGCCCGGGAGATTACTTATCACGAGTAGTCACTCTTAGGTGGGCCTTGTAGTTTAGTGTATGAGGGAGCTGGATCCCACGTGGCTAACTGAGGTTCGAATCTCTACTCCTTTGGGTTGAAAAGCATGCTGGGCATGTGTGTGTGTATGTGTGCACGCACCTAAAATCCTGACAGACTGGAGAAATACACGAGGATGGATTGCCATGTGGCCACGCCCGACTGGAGGTGCACTCTGTCTCTGGCAAGTGCGCAAGCCCTCCAGCAATAAAAAATAAAGTTAGCGTACTCCTGTGGGCATTCCAGTTCATGTTGGAAGACTGGTAGCAGATAGCCCCGAAGATGTAGCAGCTCAGCACAGTTTGTCTCTCGATCACCTGCATGTTCTAGGTGGGTTATTCACACAGTCACTCAGGCTCCCAGGCTCCTCCTGTATCGCAGCTCCAACTCCGAGTCTGCTGTCCTTCACATCCAGCCTGCGGTAGCAGGAGGAGACGGAGGCGTGCTCAAGGGGGCAAGGGATGTTTTTTGAAGCAGGCCCGGATGTGCCAGATGCTTCTTGACACATTTTTTTAGGCCAGAACTCAGTAATAGGGCCTGTTCTACGGCAGGGACTCCTCCAGGAGGAAAGAGTTCTCATGAGCAGCCAGCAGTTTCTGCCACCGTCTGCTGCTCTGGTGGTGAGGTATCTATTCCTATGAACAAAGGGAAAACCCCTCTTCATGGGAAAATAACTGGGCTAACTTAGCCACTCAGTGGGGTACTGGGCTTCCCTTCTGCGGAACCATGTGCACTTAGTCAGCGGGGTACTGGGCTCCCCTTCTGCGGGGCCGTGTGCACTTAGCGGGGTACTGAGCTCTCCTTCTGCGGGGCCGTGTGCACTTAGTCGGCGGGGTACTGGGCTCCCCTTCTGCGGGGCCGTGTGCACTTAGTCGGCAGGGTACTGAGCTCCCCTTCTGCGGGGCCGTGTGCACTTAGTCGGCGGGGTACTGGGCTTCCCTTCTGCAGGGCCATGTGCACTTAGTCGGCGGGGTACTGGGCTTCCCTTCTGCAGGGCCATGTGCACTTAGTCAGAGGGGTACTGGACTCCCCTTCTGTGGGGCCTTGTGCACTTGGTCAGCGGGGTACTGGGCTTCCCTTCCGCGGAGCTGTGTGCACTTAGTTAGCGGAGTACTGGGCTCCCCTTCCGCAGGGCCGTGTGCACTTAGTCAGCGGGGTACTGGACTTCCCTTCCGTGGGGCCATGTGCACTTAGTCAGCGGGATACTACTGGGCTCCCCTTCTGCAGGGCCGTGTGCACTTAGTCAGCGGGCTACTGGGCTCCCCTTCTGCGGGGCCGTGTGCACTTAGTCAGTGGGGTACTGGGCTCCCCTTCTGCAGAGCCGTGTGCACTTAGTCACCGGGGTACTGGGCTCCCCTTCTGCGGAGCTGTGTGCACTTAGTCAGCGGTCTGTCTTGGGTTCTGGGAGTTTGACGGTCAGGTCGCTGTAATGACCCATGATCAGAACTTGCTCAGCTACTCCTCAGAGAGCAGGCAGGACACTGAGCTCAGGGCTCCACATCTCCCCTGATTTGCGGTTCTGTCAGATCCACATGCTCTCACGTAGAGGACGGAAACCTCTCATCTGAAAAAGAGGACTTACGTGTGCCTGCTCTGTCCATAGTACCAGCAGGGCCGGATGGCCACCTCGATCCCTCCCTGTCGGAGGAGGGGAGAATGGAGTGTGTGAGGCAGCCCCTGGTCCCTAATCATGATGGATCCCCCTGGCGGGGTATGCACGCTCCCCATCCTGGTAGGGACGGAAGTCTCTCGATTAGATCAAGGGTGTCTCATGCGGTAATTGCAGCTTACACCTGGTCTAACTGAGTGTCCTGTGTCTTTATTAAATCTGGCAACTCTAAAGGGGGGCTGCAGAGTGTTCATAGCCAATTCGGTTCTTATGCTGTAAGTCCCAAATAGTCAGAGGCTTCTTAGCCAGGCTTATAGTTTGTTTGGCAGTACAGTTCCTTTAAAAGCTTAGAATTTCGGGCCAACCCGTGGCCCGCTGGGTAAGGGTGGTTATCGAGAAATACACTGGGTATGTGTGTGCATGCCCCCAATCCCTTCAGAATGGTAAATGGAAAAGAAGGGATTGTGGCATGATTGCACCCCATTGGGGGTTGCTTTTTCCCTCCCCCACTGTTTCTCTCTGGCAAGTGCAAGTACACTCTAGCTAATTTTAAAAAAAGAAGGCTGGCCCCATAGCACAGTGGTTAACCTGCACTGTATTGGAAGCTGGACCTCACATGACCTACAGTACACGGGTTGAATCCAAACCTCAGTGGCCTGAAAAACACACCAGGCGCTCTCACATGACCTACAGTACACAGGTTGAATCCAAGCCTCAGTGGCCTGAAAAACACACCAGGTGCTCTCGCATGTGTGCCAAATTCCTGACGGCAAAGACAAATGGAGGAAGAGGTTCTGGCATGAGCACACCCAGTTATAGGGTGTGTTACCTCTCCACTCCTCTCTCTCTGCTGAGCATATGCACCCTCTGACAACTTTTTAAAAAGAATTTTTTTTTTTGGACCAGCAGTTAGCATAATGGCCATGTCGCTGGACTCCCATGTAGTCAACCACAGTTCAAGTCCTGGATCCGGTGACTTAAACTCACGCCCGGCACGTGTGCGTGCGTGCCCAAGATCCCGAGAGGAGAATGGAGGAGAAGGATTGCGGCATGGCCATCCCCCCGGAGTGTGATTTATTACTTTCTGTCTCTCTATCTCTCTCTGTCTGTCTGGCGAGCACACGCACCCTATAGCAAAAACCTCTCCAAAAAAGAAAAAAAAGAAAGAGGAGGAGAATGGGTTTGGTGGGTAGCACCAGCCGCGGCCCTAACTGTTGCCATCCTGGGAAGGGAAACACTGAGTAGATTAGTTCTTTGTGCTACAACAGTAAGTGATCAGGTCTTTTGTTTATTTGCTTTTTTAGATTTTTTAATTTAATATATTTGTGTTATGTAAGTCTATATTTTTTAATTTTTTTTACTCCATATACATAAAATAATACTTTCTTTTTTCTCTCTCTCTCTTCTAGTCAACGAAACGGAATATTCCAATGCTCTTCGTCCGGGGAGATGGCGTTGTGCTAGTTGCCCCTCCGTTGAGAGTAGGCTAACACAGAGAACGTGCTCTGCATGGAAACCAGGAGACTGTACACTTACCTCGCTAAGTGCACAGGACCTCCAGAGGAGGGACACACATACCTTCTGATATGGTCCGAGGAGTCTTTCACTCCTACGTGAGCCAACTGATAGAGAACTCATGACTTCCTAGGCTGATGGCGTTTTTATTTTTCTCCAACTCTTCCAATAAATGCGATCGCTAAGATGCAAACTCTTTCAGGAGTGGCTTTGCTCCCTTGTGCTTGCTGATTCCTTTCAATTAAATGTGACGTTTACTTTTGCTTTTTTAAACACAGTCTCCTGTCATGAATTCTGTAGAGAAAGCAGTTATCTCCGTCACTCACTGTATTGTCACAGGACGTCTGTGTTGGAGTACCGGGAGCTAGAGCTTGCCTCTGCGTTTCCTGCCCGGCCATCTTCCGAGGGGCAGTCGTCTAGACCAGCACTGCAGGACTGAGACGAGCAGAGAGGAGCACCGCACACGCACAGCGCCCTAACAGCCCGGGGCAGAGCGCCCACATCAGATTAGCAGCCGGCCAGGGGCCGGGGGTGGTTGTGAACACAGCACGACTTTTTTTTTTTTTTTTTTTTTTTTTAAGATAGTCTCTCCGGGACCAGCAGTTGGCTTAATGGCTATGTCGCTGGACTCCCATGTAGTCATCCGCAGTTCAAGTCCCGGACCCAGTGGCTTAAACTCACGCCGGGCACATGTGTGGGCGTGCCCAAGCTCCCAAGAGGAGAATGGAGGAGAAGGGATTGTGGCGTGGTCATCCCCCCTGGGGGGTGATTTCTTGCTTTTCTGTCTCTCTTGTCTCTCTCTGTCTGTCTGGCGAGTGCACACGCCCTATAGCAAAAATCTCTCCAAAAAACAAAACAAAACAAAAATCTATCCTCCTGTTTCAGTTTCCCCAAGTAGCCAGGATCATAGGCGCATATCATCATGCCCAGCCTTTAGGTTGGACCAGGAATCGAACCCAAGTCTCCCACATGGCCCCAGCCAACAGAGAATGGTGTCTCATCAGACAGAACATGTCACCACGGCTGGACCCAAGCACGGTTCTTTCATGTTTCGTTTTCGTAGAGAGATTTTTACTATAGGGCGCATGTGCTTGCCAGAGAGATCAGAGACAGAAGGTAAGAAATCACCCCTACCCCAGGGAGATGGCCACTTCATAATCCCTTTTTCTCTATTTTCCTCTTGGGACTTTGGGCAGGCTCAAATGCACGCATATGCGCCGCGTGTGAGTTTTTAAGCCACCGGGTCAGGGACCTGAACTATGGTTGACTCCATGGGAGTCCAGCGATACCATCTTCTGGTCTCCCAAGCACAATTTCTACTGCTTCTGTCTGGCATGACTTCCTCCTAAGGTCAGGCCATGGTGGATACAAACGTGTGTGGTTCAGCTTGGTCATAGCCACCAAGGCTGTACTTTATCACTCCAAAGAATCATCCTTTCCACGTAGGGATCACAGGTCGTTTATGACAGAGTCTAAAACAACGTGTCTTAGTGGCACAGTAAAGCAGAGAATGACTGAAATGTGAAGTGATTTTTATTTCTCGCTTTACTCAGTCAACACTGAGTGCTTAAAAGCGAAGGGGAGGGACCAGCAGATGGCGCAGTGGTTACATCACTGGACTCTGACGTAGTCAACTGCAGTTTGAGTCCCAGACCTGGTGGCTTCTAACGCAAACGCTGGGTGCATGTGTGTGTGTGCCTAAAATCCCAAGAGAAGAATGAAGGAGAAGGAATTGCAGCGTGGCCACCCCCCTTGAGAGGGGGGTTTCTCGCTTTCTGTCTCTGTCTCACACTGTCTCTCAGCCAAGTGCACACGTCTTATAGCAAAAATCTCTCTCAGAAAAAGGAATGACGGGGAAATTATTTGTGTGTTGCAGTCTCTAAAACTTGATCAAGACATGTCCTAGAACCTCACATTCTTCTCTAGGCTATGTATGCCATTTTGAAATGTGGAAAATCTAATACAGGAAATCAGTCAGGGTGAAGAAGCCGGATCCCACGTGACTGCTCGGGTTGAATCCCAGGTGAGGAGGCTGGAGAAGGAGCCCAGGCAAATGTATGCATGCCCAAAATCCTGGCAGGGACCAGCAGTCTACATCACTGGACTCCCATGTAGTCAACTGCGGTTCTAGTCCCAGACCTGGTTCCAGTCACGCTAGCGTATGTGCGTGCGTGCCCAAGATCCCGAGAGGAGAATGGAGAAGGGATTGTGGCGTGGCCATCCCCCCTGGGGGGCGACTTCTTGCTTTCTGTCTCTCTCTGTCTTTCTGGCAAGCGGACGAGCCCCATAGCAAAAACCTCTCCAAAAAAAAAAAAATTCCTGGCAGAAGAGAGAGATGGAGGAGAAGACATTGCAGTGTGACCATCCCCCTGGGGGCGTGCTTTGTCACTCTATCTCTCTCTGTCTCTTTCCAGTGAGTGCACACACCCTCTGGCAAATAAGAAAATAAAATCTAATTTATGAATGGCTTGTCTTCAAAGATGCTGAATATGTGCTTGTTAATCCATTATTAAGCATATGTTACCGTATGCCAGTATTTTAATCCATGTGCAGGAAAGATAGCTTCATGAGATATCATGTTAAAAGGTTTTGTTTTCTTTATTTATCGGGCCTGTCCCTGCAAGTTGGTGGAGAAGAGAAAAACAAGTGTGGGTGAGCGGATGGAGGTTTCGTCTTACATGAGTGGGCAGGAGAGGCAGCCTCTCTGCTCCACCTGCACATTCTGTCCTGAGGCCTAGTAGGCCCAGCAAGTAGGCTGAGTCCAACACCCTGCTCACTGCTGAAAAAGGGGGCCTGCATTGTGGTGGGAACAAGTGGCCATTCCTCACGCTCACCCTTTCTGAGTAGACCTTACCTAAATGATGATGAAGCCCACTAGTTGTGATCCTTTGTTTGGCAGTGTGTCAGGCACACTTGAATCTTGACAGCTCTCCCATAGGGTGTTAAAAGAAGCAAGCTCTGGGACCAGCAGATGGTATAATAGCTACGTCGCTGGACTCCCATATAGCCGACCGCAGTTCGAGTCCCGGACCCTGTGGCTTAAACTCACGCGAGGCACGTGTGTGTGCATGTCCAAGATCCCGAGAGAAGAATGGAGGAGAAGGGATTGTGCGGCATGACTTTAAGCCACTGGGTCCGGGACTCGAACCACGGTCAGCTACATGGGAGTCCAGCGACATAGCCATTACATCAACTGCTGGTCCCTCATTTACGCTTTAGAACGTTCACTTAGCTATCGCCCTGTTGCTTCTAGCTTGCTGACTGAGGGAGGCCTGTCTGTAGCGTGCACAGCTGCCTGCTGTGTGTGATGCTCACCTGTGCTGGCCGTGGGAAAGACCTGGAACATCTGGGAGCCATCCTGGCTGATCTCTCTCAGTCACTCAGCTCTGCTGAGCGCCGTGGGTTTCACACTTAGGCCAGCTCTTCATAGCAGATCTAGACTTTGGTTTACCTGCCGGCCATGGCGGCCTCTCCCCTTGATGGGTCTGTGTGCCCCTCCATGGACTAGTCATTACCGCTGTGAGGGGTAGGGCTCTGGTTGGCCAAGCCTGTTACACGCCGAGTCCTAAAACTATAAGCAAGGTTATTTCTTTCTGAGCCGTCTGGTCTGGAAGCGAGAGGGGTAGTTCTCCATGGGGGCTGGAGACAAGGCCTGTAATCTAAGGTAACTTGGTCTGCTCAGATGTGTAGAAAACTCTCTTCAGTCCTCCGGTAGTCATCCATTCCTTGGCGCCCACCTCAGAGTGGGGACACTGATGTTACAGCTACGGCTCTGGGGTCTGTGAAGGTGCTGTGCATCTGGAGGGGTAGCGAGTGTGGGCGGGGCTCAGACTTGCTCAGTGACTGGGCCTGTTGGTGGCTGGAGTCCTCCAGGCTGCTCGAGGGTGGGGACCTAGGGGACTCCTTCTCAAGGGGGTATTGGGGCAGGTGTAAGTATCAGTTCCTCGGAGCTGGGAAAGGCAGGGTGCTGGAATGAAGGGAGACGGAGAACAAGGAGCCCAGCCGATGTGCTTACAAGCAGGGCCCAGATTCACAACCCCTGGCCCAGGTCCTGGCCAGCAGTGTCCCCAGGAAATGCCGAACCCGTGAATAGTTCAAAGACCAGTGACAACAGTTCCATCTGGACAGGGTTTCTCACCTCTTTCCCCTCCCGGCTGTCTTCCCTGTCACTGTTTACCCGAGAACATCAGCACATGCCAACTACGGATACCTAACTAGTTAACAATTGACACGGAAAGCTAACACCAAGACGTGAGGAAGACAAGCCAAACGGTTTACATTCCTTTGAAATCCGCTGCCCAATTTTACTAAACCGAAGCATGTAGATTCCTATTTTCTTGGCTGCTTCTGGAAGCTTCCTGGGCGTGGAATCAGCGTGCCTCACTGGTTTCTGATAGTGATGACGCTAGAGGAATTTTTTCTTGGTGTTTATACCGTCCACCTACGTCCTGTGGAGGTCTGGGCTCCGAGTGTTGACAGGAGCCACAGAGTTGCCCTTAATGGATTGGGACCTTGACCACAGGGGACCTAGCCCTGTGACAGCATCTGATAAACCTAGCTTTAAGTCCCAGCTGTGCCAGGCACCCGCTGAGCAAATGAGGTGTGCCCTAAGGTCAGCTGTAAGAATTAGAAAGTGTCTATGGGGGCCACAGATGGTGTAGTGGTTACAGCACGGACTCCCACAAGGCTGACCATGGTTCAAGTCCCAGACCTGGCAGCTTGCTTTTTTCACTTTCTCTCTTCCTCTCTCTCTCTCTGTCTCTCTTTGGTCAAAATTTAAAAATAATAATAAAATTAATAAAATAATCCTTTATAAATAAATAAAAAGCTGTGTGTCCTGGTGAATGTCCTTAGAAAAGAAAGAAAGGAGAAGGAAGGAAGGAAGGAAGGAAGGAAGGAAGGAAGGGAGGGAGGGAGGGAGGGAGGAAGAAAGAAAGAAAGAAAAAGAAAGAAAGAAAGAAAGAAAGAAAGAAAGAAAAGAGAAGGAAAGAGAGAAAGAGAAAAAAAGAAGAGATAAAAGAAAAGAAAAGGTGAAGGAGAACCGTCTAGCAGAGCAGCCTAGGGCGGTGCTGGAGTGACTGACATTTCACCGGCAAGTCGGGAGGCTCCTGCCGTTTTCCCAGGTCACTCCATCTCACTCATTCCAATCGCCCCATCCTTTTTCTCCCTGGGTAGTTTTCCAGAGAATCATGCATTTGAAATACAATTATCTCCCTATATCAAAGGGGATTGGTTCTAGGACCCCACATGCATACCAAAGTCTGAAGATGTTC